ATCTCTAAGTAGGGGTACTCGCTACGGTTTTCGACGTTTGATTAAATTCCGGCGTCGTTCGTTCGCTATATCGATATCTCAAATTTTTTTTTTTTTTTTTCACTCCTCGTTGTTGTTTTGCGATACCTACCTACCTTATATCATAATCAGTCTGTGTTATAACATTATTATACATACCGACACGTCCATTCGTGTCATGCCGTCGTGTCGTCGTTGAATCGAGTGGATGCACAGCAGTGATGTTGATCGGCAGCGGTACTGCGGGCAACTTCGGGAGTTTCAACGTGGACCATCCGGGCGGGCCGAGTATCATCAGCGGGCTACAGGGATCGCCTCACCACGCGAGCACCGCCAACCAGCCCCAACAGCATTCGCCCGGTTCGTCGTCGGGCGGCGGCGGCGGCGGTGGTGCCGGAGGAGGTAGCGCCATGACGCCGCTGTTGCCGTCGTTCGGGTTCACCCAGGAACAGGTGGCCTGTGTGTGCGAGGTGCTCCAGCAGTCCGGCAACATCGAGCGGCTGGGCCGGTTCCTATGGTCGCTGCCCAGTTGCGACAAGCTGCACAAGCACGAGAGCGTGCTCAAGGCGAAGGCCATCGTGGCGTTCCACCGCGGTAACTTCAAGGAGCTGTACCGGTTACTGGAGAGCAACCAGTTCTCCGCGCACAACCACCCCAAGCTGCAGGCCCTCTGGCTCAAGGCGCACTACGTGGAGGCCGAGAAGCTCAGGGGCCGCCCGCTGGGTGCCGTCGGCAAGTACCGTGTGCGCCGCAAGTTCCCGCTGCCCCGCACCATATGGGATGGCGAGGAGACCAGCTACTGTTTCAAGGAAAAGTCCCGGATGGTGTTGCGAGAATGGTACGCCAGCAACCCGTATCCGAGCCCCAGGGAGAAAAGGGAATTGGCCGAGGCCACCGGATTGACTACGACCCAGGTGTCCAACTGGTTCAAAAACCGCAGGCAAAGGGATCGGGCGGCCGAACAGAAAGACGGGTGAGTGGCGTTCGTTTTACTAATATTGTCATCGCAACGTATACTTATATTGATAACATAGCCATACTACCCTTATTACGTAGCTCTAAGCAAATATTATTATAATATTAAATAACCTACTCCGTTACAACGCCTCTGATGCCTTTTCGACTTACTGCAATTGTGTACCTATTTTGTTGTGGCAATATATTATTATAATGTTTAAGTACTTATACCGTGTAACAATATTGTGTGACGAGCGCACCCGGAGGACGAGTGTTACTGGAAAATTAACTCGGCCCGGTAATGCTCCCTGAACGCAACCGAGATACACTTCCTAAACAGTTTGATTCACATCAGCCATCATAACAAAATATTTTCATCATCTCCACCCATAACTTATTATTATGTATAGGCACCTACGTATATGCAATATAAAAAAAAAAATTAAATCGTTCACTATTGTAGTGCCAACTTAAAAAAAATAACTTGAAATAAATTCAAAATTGTTGCAGATATGAAATAAAATAGCCTAATGCAAACACTTATTATACTTTACACTGCAGATTCGATAAATTTTGTCCATATAGATTAGACACGTGTTGTTATAAACAGTTTTGTTTCAACAGCAAATTGCATTGTTAAAAATCTGATCACTCATATAGGTATAATGTGTAAGCTTACATTTGTGTATTACTAATTGGATGTTATTAAGCTTTAACTAAATCAATGAGATAAAACTAAAACTACCATATAGTTGATGAAAAAAAATTCATTTCGACGGTAATTTTATTAGTAGGTTCTTTAGTAATGATAAATATTGATTCTCAGAAACTAAAATATTGTAGTTGTGCTTTAAGTACATTCTTCGCTTAACTTAAATATGAGTTCAATGTTAATATTATTTCTTGGACAGGCAATGTTATTTAAAAATGATTAAAAATAAAACTTATCATACATAACTTGATGTGAATTAAATAATACAATAAAATAATACAATGTAAGAATTTATACAATTCAAAAAAAGTATTTTTGATTTTTAATCTAAAAAAAAAATAATAATTATGATTTTATTCTATTTTATTTTATTTAAATACAGAATGGTAAATAAAATAATATTACTAATTTCAATATAAATATTAAAAAATTAATTTTGGTGCAAAGGGGTAATAAAAAAAATGCCTATTGTTCCTTTATTGTATAGAAAATAATATATATACCTTAAAATAATTATCAAAAAATCAATGAACTATGTATAAAAACACATTTAAACTTTTTAAATCATTAAGAGTTTTAAATTTTAACTTGCTTTTGACAATCCTATAAAATCGTTACCCTAAAATGATTATGAATTGTATTACCTAGTAATTTTCCAAAACTTTTAAAACAATATATATTTTAATATTTGAAATCATAAAACACAATTTTTTAAATATAGTTTAACAAATATTAAAATATCGTAATGTAGATTTACTTACTTATAGAATGATTGCAACATATTAAGGTCAAGTTATAAAAAATATAAATAAATACTATTTTGAAATAATAAGGGGCAATAGTTAAATTAATCTTATCATCTGTAAATTATAAATATAAATTTATCTGCATATAAAATAATAATAATATAATAGCAATATTAGAAGTTTGGAGTTATAAAATTATCTTTTGATTGCTTTGCTTATCCTATAATTATTAAGTAGTACCGATACACTTTTTCAATTTAATGAATTAAAAAACATGTTAAATATAATACATTTTATTTTACTATATTGTGTAGGTTTGAAAAATGTATTATTATCAATATGACCTCATTATTTACATACTCTCTTAGGGAGAACTAATTTCTGCAAGATCTCACATTGGTGACCGGAAGCGTATTGTAGTTGTCCCTGAGAAAAAATGATTAGTGAATGACCCTAATCAAAAAGTAGTGTTTTTTCCATTTTTTTTTTTTTTTTTTTTTACAACCTATCACAATGGAGCTCTCTGTACAGTATTATAAACAGGTACCTACTATAGGTTTATTGCGTAGACTGCTGCAGACAATAATTCACCGATAATGACAAAAAACTATATTGCTGCGACAAAGCGATAACTCAGCTGTAATATTGTAACAAGGCGCGTAAGCCAAGCGGGCTACCACGACCTCCGGATGATAACGAATTCATTAATACGGATGTTGATCATTTAAGTAGGTACATAAAATAGTGAATGAAACGATTATACATTACACATGTTGGATTATCACTATGTGTATGATATGTATATACATATATTCTGCATGTGTGGTTATGGTATATTATATAAATTCTATTATACACARTGCCGTCTTATAGCGCACCCCACTGGGTACAGCAAACTACCCTGTTTTTCTCTCTCTCCCAAGAGGCTGAATCACGGGAATTAGTACGATAAATCACATTTCATCATGTGCTTCGAGCACAACGGGGTACGCTCGTAATATATTATGTTATTCGCGTTGTATATGTTCTCCAGATGATATCGAGAGTTTCGGACACACATAATATAATATTTTACGAGTCCTATAATATATATTATTATGCGTCATTATCTATTATGTTTTTCATTTGAATTCCACACATGCGGCACTCATTTTTAAGATAAAATGTATAAAATATAAAGACAGGTTATTATTCAGCTTAACAAAAAATTATTTTTCACTCAAATTATGAGCTCTTAATATACCGTCCTTGTTGAATTTAACATACCTATATGTCACATGAGGTATATGAAAAATAAAAACCTACGTATTATGTGGTTTTTAAAAATATTAGTAATATTATAGTCTATAAATCTAGGTATAGTCCAATTTAAAAAAAATCACTTTTTATTTTTAATAATTAATAATTAATATGGTACCTATATATAGCTATTCTAATTAACAATATTTACTATTGCTATGATAAACAATTCTTGTCTTTKTAGACTTTATAATATAATAAGAAGTACATAAAAAATATTGTACACTGGTGTAAAAATAATAAAATACTGTATATAATATTAATGATCTATGCAAATAGGTTTAGAATTTAATTTGTAATACTTTATATAAATTATTGTGTATATTATTTATACAATATTAATGATAAATTATTATACTAAATTAATAAGTAATTGTTATAAACTATTCAAATTCACAAAGCCAGTTAAATTAGTTATAGTAGGTATTTAATTAGGAAAATTATGAAAAATATTTAAATATCCATTTTTTAATTAAATATTTTCAAGGAGTGTTAAACATTTAAATCTCTAAATTTTAGGTAGAGCCAAAAAATTTCCAGAATAAATACGATAAAAAATACAACTGTAACACTGCCAAGTAATAAATACTGACATAAAATAGTCTTATATTTTTACTTTGGTACTTAAGAAAAATATGTCATCATTAAAATTAAACTTATTCTGTGCAAAGATTTCAAAAGCTTTAATGGTAATAATTTACTTATTTTCATTGTATTGGTTTACTTATTTTTATTTATGTCTGCGATGATTAATAACACAGTACTTATATTAGTCAATAGACAATTTATTTTTTATTGAGTTTTCGAATGACTTATATTAAAAATGTAATGTATTAGTTATTTCATTAAAACTATGATATTTTCACTGTCCCTATCTAGTACCTACATAATATTATTATAAGAGTTCTTAAACGATAGTGACTATTATAATGATTTATTAATTATTGTCTTCAATCTTTGAGCGGTTTTATTTATAGCATAAACACCTAGCTAAGTTTTAAAAATAATATTGATTATTTTTTGAAACAACATTTGTGGGTTTTGACCTATGTATGACATACCCGTCTATTTCGTGTATTATTTGTTTATGTTTACATAGCGCTCGTCTGCCCGCGAATACGGGAGAGACGGTTAGACGATATGAAAAATTGTATTATTGAATTTTGCAAACATAACGTACACAAGACAATACTATACATAGCGAATTCCCATCGCAGCATTCTCACTACCACGCAGTCGAGAAATGTGTTTACTTAGGACGCCCAGATGCCCGAAAACATATTATAAAGCAAATACAAACCAATAATGTGAAGAATTTCTGTAGTTTCAGTCGATATGCGRCCTGTGTTGTAGTCTATGTTTATAAATATAATATAATACGTACAATCTATATTGGGTTCTATTATATACATAGAAAGAGCGACATTATTGAATATATATTATTATTTACTATATAGTTCTCGAAATTATATAACGTAAATTATTACATAATTAATATTTTTATAATTTAATAAAATTTTTTTTGTTGATATACCAACGCCCAACGGTAAAGTCAAGTGGGTAACACATATACGTATAACGATGTACGTACAATTAATAATTTATTACATTGATAGATTATTAGATAGATATATGAAAAGAGAAAAAACTAACATTAAGTTTTCGAGGCATTATTAAGGATCTAAAGCGTTAGCATTTTATGGATGGTGCGGTTATGATTTTATGACCGTAGGTTGAAACCAGAAGCGGAATGAGATATTTTTGTTCATATACCTAGGTACCTACCTTTTTTTTTTTTTTTTTTTTTTTTCTGTTTTAACCGACGACGCCGCGGGATCTGCTTTCGCATTGCTTCCGCGGCGCCGCCATCGTTTATTGACATTATCAAATATTAATTACATTACAAGTTTTACTTGGCTTCTTCCTGTTCTTCTCGGGCTGACCGGAGTCCGCCGCCCTTGAATTCGCGTGCCTGTCATCCGATTGGCGAGCCGACCGGAGTCYACCACTCTGGATGTTTCGATCTCCATCAGGGCGGTCGCACGTTCCCCTATGCCCTTCGCAAGGCCTCTTCCTCGCGTTCATCCTTTTCCTTGGTCGACAGAATCGTCTCGACCATGCGGATGAACTCCAGGCRATTAGTTTCGAACTGTTTAATAATTCTCCTTCGGGCTTGGGCGTCTTCTGGCAAGTCATGTGACAGAGGACCACACAGGATTTCCTCAACGTCACCCGCGTTCGGAGGTCGTACCTAGGTAC